CAGAAAGAATTGCCCACAACTTCCATCGGTTGTGTATATATGATTTTTCAGCAGAAGCGAACAAGACAAGGGGTGATTGGCCCTCCAGGGAACACTGCCCTGGCACCCAATCCCCTCTGGGCCCCCTGCTCTCAGGGGGGCCAATCTCAACCTATGGCAACCGTAGACAATCTTGGTCATTGCATCTACCCAAATCAGCAAGAATCCTATAGAAATAAATAACTTTGAAATAATAATAGAAAAAGGCTACCTTATTCTTTGTGCACTTTGAGAGTGCCTTGCTACTTAAGCACTTGGAAAATTATTTTTTCCTGATGTTTTCAACTATCATTTTTTTCCCCCTGTGTTTTGCTCCCATTATTTGACTTTTCATCAAACCACAGAAAAATAAAATTGGAAAGAAGAGGTGCCTGTGGAGCACAGGGGAAACAAAGCATTACAGGTGTGGAGAACAGAGGGAATGTGCAACAATGGATTTAGTGTTGTTTGTAGCCTCATCTTTCCAGCCTGTCCAGCAAGAGGTCACATTGCCCAACTCGTCATGTTTCAATGAAAAAGAAACCCATGACTGTTGCAACCAGGAAATGTTGACATAATGGAGTTACTAAGAAAACCTGAATTTTAGTCATTTTCTATGTTAGATACATTGGAGGCAAGGTCACACAAGTTTTATTCACAGTAACACCACTGGGGTCTTTTTCTCTTTACATGGTTCATGACAATCAGTCAAAATGCCTTTTTTTTTTTTTTATCAGCACACAAAATGAAATAGCATTTTCCAGAAGCACATGGAAAAGAACATGTTGAGCCTGTAGAGTGGTTGTATCCTGTAAACATATTTTCAGGGTTTATTGCAAGGAAGGGCATTCCAGAAAACTGCCAGCAGGACAGATTCAGGCACTTTCAATGCCCAGGAAGAGAATTAATCCTGTATTCAAGAATTTTCTCAGTACTGGAAATTCTGGACAATGAGCTACCTATGACATGACACTAAGACTCCACCACACTTTGAATAGTCATTGTTGGAAGTAGCAGTACCTGCATATATGGAAGAATGAACAAATTATATTCAACTAAAGAGAGTTACTATTGCAGGCAAGGGCTCTGTGGCACAAAACAAGAAGGAGAAAGGCAGAGCCAGCTGCATAATTTGAACACGATGAACAAGGCAAAGAGAGGGATGGAAAAAGAGATGAGTAGGTGTGGGACCTCATGAACTTGTGGTAGTACAGGTGGGTTCTTCCCACCATAGTAGGAAAGGAGGGAGTGGGGAACAGGACCATCTGCCTGTGCCAAACAACTGGGGTTGTTTGCGTGAGAGGCAGTGAGAACATAAGATGCAAAGGCAGTACAGCTGAGCCTGTGCCCCTGTCTTTGCACCCTAGATCGCTGCTAAGCCCCTTGCAGGTACCTTTGCTTTCAGATCAGTTTTTACTCTCACTTTTAGCAGCAATTCACGTCCCACAATCTCACACTTTTCTGAGACTGGAATATGACTGAATTCCACTGATTTACTCAAAAAAAAAACCCTCCAAAATCCCCTTAGAAACATTAATGTAGAAATCTTCGTGTTAATTCAGTCAAGAGTCACTTCAGAGTAAAACATTTGGGACAAACAGAAGATAAGGGGTAGGTGTTTATTTATTAGGTGTTTTTTCATTTTGGGGCCCTGAAAATGTGTGCAAATGGCCTCCCTGTTAAAGAACTTCACCTAAAGACATTGACTAAATCAATGCCAGTTAGGATTAGAAGCCAGGATTTCTAAAACCTTGATCTGCATATTTAGCTACCTCTTATTATCTATTTCTTCCTTTTCAGAGCAAGTGATCACAGGTAAACTACAGATCTACACGTTTTGCAAATGATGTAAAAATTGTGAAAATAATTGAATTGATGCACAAGGAGGGTATGGACAAAACTTGAATTGCTTGTCTTAATATTCCTGCATGCTGCTAAGCTTGAATCCTTGAATCCTCTGCTCCTTAATTGATATAGGAATACAAAATGTTCCTTTTGTTTAAGAAGTCAACTGAAGTAAGCAAAAATGAAACAAAAGCTTCTATTTTCTTGGAAAAGCAAGTGGCAAGCAGTAAATTCTGGTTAATGAAAGGGGTGTGTTTCATGACAGAGCGATTTCAGGCAGAACTAACCACAAATACATGTCATTCTTCATTTACTGTGAAGTTGAGAAATATTTGAAAGCTAAAAGTCACACTCAAAATATTTTCAAGTTATTAGTAAAACTAAGGTTTTACTAAAACTCCTGCTACAACTCCCAAAATATATAAATACCCTGCTTTGAATATGTACCTCAAAATGGATAGTTCTTGCCATTACCAATGTAACCCAAATACTTAGGGACATTTTAAAACACACCATTAAGAGTCACTTATCTTTCTAATTGAATGGTTTCTGTTGGGATGTCTCTAAAAGACATAACACTACTGAATTACTGAATCTAATTTAAATTCCGCTCAGACAAGAGGTAGAAAAACCATTACAAATCTGTTCTTGCTCAAAATATTTTTTGTTGTTTATTTATGACTTAAAGAATTTCTCAAACTTGATTTTATTTATTTTGCTAATATACCATGTTTATAAGATACTGCATATTTTTATACTGGGAAAGGCTCACCTCATTTACTTCCTAGGCTGCCATTAACAGTATCCTTGTAATTTCCTCTATTGCAATAATTTTCATTTTTTTCACCCTAGCAGTTCAACCATGATAATTCAAAATAGCAGTGTTGAAAGGTGAGCTTTTTAAAAATAAATCATCTCAGTTTTCCCTCATTTCATTTGACAAGAACATTTATTCCCTGATTAAAAAGCTCAAGACAGGCATATAGAGCCATCATTTAGGGCTCTGAGCAACCAGGTCTATTGAAAGATGTCCCAGCTCACAGCAGGGGCATTGGAACTAGACAGTCTTTAAGGCCCCTTCCACCCCAACCCAAATCATTCCATGATTCTATGATTAGAAATACAGAAAAACCAAAAACTTGGCATTAGGGAGTTGCACAACACTTCTATCTGAGGAAAAAAAAACAAAGACAAAACCAAAAAAATAAAATAAAATAAAAAAAAAAACAAAGACAAAACCAAAAAAATCAAACCAAAACAAGTTTCTCACTTGTTTCTCAAGTGAGAAACCTTCCATAGTTTAATGGTCTAAAAAATCAAATTAAGTCCATTCATTACAGAAAGGTTATTTAAACTGCATATCCTCCAGAGATTCTGGCCTCTTTACAAGTTACTTTGGTAACTTCCAATATGGACACCCGTTCTTTGGATCCCTGTTCGGACTACCATCCTTACGTCATTGAGGACACCAAACAGCAGCTAGATGTTCTATAATAATAATAATGACTTTTAGGAATTTGAAACCAAAGTGAGAAACAGATTTTCTTAATTTTCTAATAGCGTGAGCTGCAACACAGTGTGAAAATGCAGGACAAAACATCTAGAATATTTTTCTCCAGTGTCATAGACATGTTCTTGCCTTGCTTGTTAAGATAAGTTCATTTAGAAACACACGCTAATGTAATTTCCTTTTGAAAAGGAATAGTGATTTCTTCTGTTTAAACAGGGGGAAGGACCTAAACATCTCTTCACTGGACAACAGGAGAACTGTTGTGCTCTGGGAGCACAGCACTGTGAGGACTGTCTTTGTTGGGCCTTGCATAGGCACCCAGCTGCAGATAGATGGTTACTTGACTCTTTCAGTAATAGTGTTAGTTAACAAAAGCCTAGGGAAGTATAAGGCAACCCTTCCAGCTCTGCTCTTTCCTTCCAAGTCTGTAAATCCCCTCCCAACCCAAAACTTCACTAGTCTTTGAGAAAAACATCTGCAATGACAGAGATTGAGTGCACTGGAGGCCAATCAGCAATTTAAGGTATCTTTGGTTGGACTCCTAAATGCCTAGCAGCATACTTATATCATAGCCTAATTCAAAGAGGTTAAGAGCATTCTACGGATCTGTCATTATTTTAGGGGAATTTTAGGCACCAATCTGTCTGTCAGAGCAAAGCGTGAGATGGTCAAGAGCCTAATGATCATCCCACCACCTCAGAAGTCCATGTATTCAAGCAGGCAGTACCCACCCTCGCTGGACCTAGAGACTGGAGATTGCTGGAATGGGAGAAAGTAGAGGCCAGAAGGGGAGTATCCATGTGCTGTGCCCAGGAGGATGTGCTCAGGCATCAGGATAAGCCAGCCATTCATTTCCCCTTCCTCGAGGAAATGAGGTGAGTAGGATCCCTTTGCTTGGCTGCTGGCATTCCTTTTTTATTTCGTTCTTTCAACAGGACACTTCTGCTTGACAAAGCTTTACTGCTTGAGTCCTTGAGTTCTTATTTTTTCAGACTTTAAGTTTCTTTAAGCTATGGATACCTTTGGGTTACAATTCATATTTAAGAATTACTTTCAAGCTTAATTTGAAGACTTCCAAATAAACAAAAGCACAATGATGTTCCCAAGCATGTTTTAGCAATAGTTAAGCTGTGCACTAGAAATCGTTTCTGTTATTTATAAATTTCCTCACAGTTGGCATCAAAGTTCACTCTGACACTTTTTGTTACCTCTGTTACCTGTTAACTTTCCACAGGCCATCATCAAGACAGATCTGGGTATTTTTCTTGTACAGCAAAATGCTTGTGTCTTAGTAGTCTTCTCATAAGAGGGAGACGTTTGATTTCCTCAAATTTCCCTCTACATCATAACATTCTGCTTTAGGTTCCTCTCCTACTTCAACTACTTTTCCAAACAGACATCATCACTGAAAAGTTTGTTTCATTTTGCTCCCATCAATGCTGCACAGAGATAACACTTCTTCCTTAAGAAGAGCCCAGGATTATCCACTTTGATCTAAAACACTGGGCTGCAGATCAGGCTAAGTTGATTTTCTACTGTCATCTGTAGTCATGTGCAGTTCCTGTTCAGTGTCACTGATTTCTAGGAAGAAGAAAACTCCATTTTGTCTTTTTTTGTCTTTTTTTTCCTCAGATATTGTTACATGTGAACGTGGTTGGAGGTTTTTCAGAAGTCCAGTCTCCCCGTACAATTGAAGCATAGAAAAGAAAAAAACTGGGTGAGAAACGAAAAAAAAAAACAACCAAACAAACAAAAACAAACAAACAGACAAAACAACCCCAAAAACAACAACAACAAAAAACAAACACAAAAACCAAACCAAAACAAAACAAAACAAAAGCCCAAGGAAAACCACCAGGAAGAAGAAAGGAAAAGCTGTAGCAGGGTGTTAGTAATATTTATCTTTGACAATCACAGAACATGTTCTAAAACACAATTCTTCATTCCTCAATTATCTACAAAACATAATTTTACCAGGTTTCTTCTGTGTGAATTTGTTTTCTTCTTTTAGCTTGTTTTTCCAGATGAACAACCCTTGAGCAAATATGCCATCTGCCTGTCTGCCTCCCAACTCCAGTTTCAGTCAACAGCCAACTTGAGCCAAATTTGAGAGAGGTGCAACATTCTCAAAGATGCTAAGTTCTTACAAGTTCGTGGAAAATTGGCAGCCTAAAAGAAGAAAGAAGCTCATTTTAGTATCTCATGGTGAATCAAAGACAGATCCAACTATTTGAAGAGGTAGCAGCCATCTGGCCAGCGTGTAGGCACATTTTGTCAAGACACAGAATCATTAAGTTTGGAAAAGATCTCCAAGATCACTTGAGTCCAACCTTTGGGAGAAGAGCCCAACCCCCACATGGCGACAATCTCCTTTTAGGTAGTTGTAGAGAGCAATAAAGGTCACCCTTGAGCCTCCTCTTCTCCAGGCTAAACAACCCCAGCTCCCTCAGCCATTCCTCATAGGACTTATCCTTTAGACTCTTCATCACCTCCATTGCTCTTCGCTGGACACAGTCCAGCACCTCAATGTCTTTCTTGAAGTGAGGGACCTAGAACTGAACATGGGATTTGAGTTGTGGCCTCCCCAGTGCCCAGTACAGGATCACTGCCCTGGTCCTGCTGGCCACGTTATTGCTAATACAGGCCAGGTTGCCATTGGCCTTCTTGGCCGCCTGGGCACACTGCTGGCTCATGTTCAGCCTCTCTTGACTGGCATCCCCAGGTCTTTTTCCACTGGGCAGCTTTCCAGCGACTCTGACCTCAGCTTGTAGCACTGCCTGGGGTTGTTGTGACCCAAGGACAGGACCCGGCACTTGAACCTCATACCACTGGCCTCAGCCCATTGATCCAGCCTGTCCAGACCCTTTTGCAGAGCCTACACGCGGACCCCTGAATCAGCCACAGGAACCACGGAAGCTTTTCTGAGTAAGATTGTTGGGAAGGAGCTGAAAGCTGGGACAAGGGCCTATAAAACACAGGAAGCTAGACTTCATTAATCTTGCTGCTCCTCATCTTCTACTGATTAAGTTTAAAGAAATGACCACCTCACTAATGAGAACACAGAAAGAAGAATCACTGATAAATTTTGGGCTCAGTATCAGATCATCAGTGGGTTTACTTAGTTATTTTACTATAATAAAGCGTGTCAGCACAGACAAGACACTAGGAAACTCCATGAAATCCAGAAAACTCATGAAGAGTTGACAGCATTATACTAATACACCTGTTATGCCATCTTGTCCCAGTACATAGTCATCGCTTCACACCATCCTTACCATACCTAAAAGATCACTGTGGAGACTGAAATGAAATATTTGAGATGATTAAATTTTATACTACCTTCCTATTATATATCATTTTTGGTTACACTTGATGAGGGGCCTTTCCGTGTCCCAATGTTGTCCCTAACCTACCTGTAGCCTAGAGATGAGTAGCTATTTGTACCATGTTCAGATAAATACAGAACAAGGTTTTGAAATGCACTGACCTGAAAAACCTGATGGCAAGTACCAAGGGATTTGGAAGTCAAACCCCGCAGCCTTACATTATTATTCCTACACTCCTAAAAGCAGCATTTAATAAAAATTCGTTCTGCAGCAAGCTTGGACAGTGTTCCATGAAGGCTGTCTCCTGCATTCTTAAAAAGCAAGTCAAAATACCTTCTTGCAAAGTGAATCCAAAACAGCATGGTTATGAATGTGATTCTCTTTCTCATCTGAGAAAGAGACTCTGCCATGGTGGGTTCACATCTGCTGCCAGCTGGGCCCATTTATCAGATGTTAGATTAACAGCAGAAGCTGGAGCAGCAGCAGGAAAACAATCTGTCAAGATAAAGAAGACATAGATGAATATAACCCGTCAAAACTTGAAAACAAAGTAAGCATTGTTGCAAAAGGAATGGGAAAATGTGTCTGTTGAGTAATTGCTGTCTGGCAGTAAAATATCAGAAAATTCGCTTTGCCTGAGACTGTAGAGAAAGTCTGATGATACGATTTCTGTGGGACTGCTTCTATGAGAACAGAAAATAAAAACAACAACAAAAAAAAAGCAGTAAAGCAATAGGAAAAAACCCCTTGGTATTAACATTTAAGAGGGGTTGTCTGGAGAAGAAAATTTATGCAATGCCTTTGTTGAAGAACATCTGAATATTTAGACAGCTCCCACCAATGCTGGGAGTCAGTGGCTCTATAGAAAAAAAATACAAATAAAAATAGCAAGGTACTGTGTTAGACACACAAACTCATACACACAGTTCAAAGAAGCATTAGATATTTGAAAAAGGCTTCCACAGTAGCAACTGAAACAGGCTGCAGCTGCCTATGCCAGCAGAAAGTAAGAAACAAGGTCTGGATCATGAAAGGGAGGTTGGTTCCCAGCTGCAGGCTGCAAGACAGGGCCAGTCTCCATTCAGCTCAGTCTCCCAGCTTTCCCTAGTCAGTGACTCAAGTAACAGCTAAACTAGCTCAGCAATTTTCCTTAGGAAGCCCTGGAGGTTCCTCTAGACAACAACATATTTTCCTTTGTTTTTTTGCACACAGTAGTGGAAAGGGCGGAACACTCACCTGGCTTACTGTAGTCTTGAGCCTAGTTCTCTGGAAAGCACTCTAGATGATAATTGTTTAGTATCTTCTTGCTCATTTAGTATTTTTGCAAAAAGCCCCTATGGTTCACAGCTTTGGGTTCTCTCCTGGGAGCGGATACCTTTCTCGGTCAGAGAGGTAGAAGGTTTAAACCTGCATTCCCACAATATTATATGAATGGCCCAATCACCATCCCTACCTAACACCACCAAGACTTTCCCAGAGGATGTGGCATTTGCAAACTCAGAGACAAGGGGTAGGCTAGAGCCAGATCATTTGATACCCTGAACTGCCAGTCTGGGCTCTCTACTCCATCCCTGAGCAGAGTGTAAATCCAATGCAAGCCCAAGGAGTGGCCAGTTTGATTTCAGCATCTCCTAGTGAAACAAAGCACTGCCAGGGCTCCTACTGGAGTGTTGAAGGTTGTGTGAATGTTGCTGTATGCCATCAGCTACAAAGGTATGGTGATTCCCAGGTCCTTGTTGTGATTTACCTGAGTGAAAGAGCTCACTAGATGTTCTTCCTTTTTATCAGTGGCTATGACCACTGGCTTTCACAGGTGGAGCAACATGCTGCTGTGTCTCAGTTGAAGAGACTGGAATGTTTGTTAAAGAGGATGAGTTATGAGACAGACCAAACTCCTCTCTCTCAGCAATTGTAAATTCAAAAATTAAGGGGCTTTTATCGAGGAAGTGTGGAAAAAAAAGAAGAAATAACAACCCTTTATTAAAAGATAGATGTATGTTGGCAAGAACAGTAACAGAACATAAAAACAACTAAACAATAGTCCTGTACCCAGAAGTCCCCTTCAAATAAAAGAAAAAAAGTCTGGATACTTCTCTGTCCTTTAGCGCAGTTCTAATCACGGTTGGCGGGGGCGCTGTTGGATCGCTGGAGGTGCAGAGCCTGCAGTGCTCTGTGGTGACCTGCAGGGGCGCTGTTGGGTCGCTGACGGTCACCACACGGGGAGGGGGTCTGGGGGGTGGTCTCGGATCGCAGGAGAAGCCGGAAAAAAACCAAAACAGAGACCCTTCCCGCAGTGGAAGAAGGGCAGGAGGAAAAGCAGTCCAGCCCCCCACGGGACTCACTGTTGTTCTCAGATGACGGTGTTTCAAAGCTCCTCTTTTTCTCCCAGCGAGCACAGAGACTCTCCGATGAAAATGCAGCAGGTCCGGGCTGGAGACAAAAGACAGCTCGCAGGCAAGTTGAGGCCAGCAGTCAGGGCTGACCAGGACAGGAAGCCAGAAAGACAGATCTCCAGGCCTTCTCTCCAAATGCCCGTATGCAGGCCCCCATCTCTGTCCAAGAGAGAGAACTCAGCCCTCTGACCTCTCCCCTTCCGAGCAGAGCCAGCCACCCCCTCCCAAAACTCCTCCCCTCTCCCCCAGCCTTTGATGGAGCCATCCGTTAGGAATGCGGTCTGGCCAGCTAGTTCTTTTGTAAGGCTAATTGACTCCTTTCCCCCTTTCCATTCAAACTCCATCTTTCCTACAGTGGGGGGCAGGGGGAAGAAAAAATTCTCCTGGATTTCTAACCTATAACATGGTGTCAACAATGTTTGCTCCCATTACACCCTCCATGAGAGATCCCTCTGAGCCAGGTCTGAAGGAGCAAACTGGCACAGAGAAGTCACTTTCAACCAGTCAGGCAACAAATCTGCTGTGTAACTACCTGTATTTCCAACATCTGTGTTATTTTCAAAGGATGCAGGAGTCCTGTTTGTCTGCCCTAAAAGCAAGAGAGGCTGTGCCATTTCCTGTGCCTGTGGAATCTTCAAAGGCAGATTGCAGAGACTTTGACTCAGGTATCTTCCTCCTTCTCTGAATCACATGCTTGTGCAGAAGCTGTTAGTCACTTTTGTCATCCATTCTAGCATGGGACAAAAAGTTGAGCTCAGTGAAGTACTTTGTAAATATAAATATCTCCTAACAGGAAAAAAGTAACTTCCTTCCTCTATGGAAACTGTAAACAAGAAAATAAAAATACCTTCTTGACATAGTTGCTGGATCCACCTCTGGTATTTCTTAAGCATGTGCTGTCAGTATAACCAGTTGGATGATTTCCCCACACAGCATCCAAAACACATTTCCAGCTACAGCTGCTCTGCACTTGCTGAAGAAAGGCAGTCATAGTCTCAGAGGACTCTGCACTGGCTGCACAAGTGACCTCATCATTTTTGCTGTATTTTGTGTATGATGTCAATAGCTAAGAAAGAAACAGGTCCGCATCTTGCATCATCAGAAAAGAGTTTGAAAACAAAATACATTTTCCTATTTATCTCAAACTATTCCACAGTTACCCATATGTAGCAGGGTTGGTGTATTTTTTTTCCTAAAGTAGAAAAGGTGGAGAAGTTGCCAACAGCAGCCATGCTATTCCTTGAAATACACTTACCAGCTCCAAGAGTTCTGGAGTTAAAAAGACTTTGAATCATTTCAACTAGAATTTTTCTGTTGCAAAGTCTATGCACTGGAATGCCTTCTCATTGAACTTTCCCATAAACTAAAGAAACATGTACTGGTGACTTGTGACCACCGAGCAATTGAACCAGCTCCCTAACAGAAATAATTCCTAGGCAGTCAGACTTGTTTGAGGAAAATGACACAATGGAGAGTGACATTAACTGTCACTGAGGTAATGGACAAAGCTGCATTCAGGTTTGTACATCCATCCTATACAGATTGTAGTTCTAATGCCTGGGAGGAGATGCACTGTTTACAACTATTACAACTGCTCCTGGCAGAGGCTCTGGTTTATATATGATTTATATATATATTCTTCTTCTGTGTTTGTGTTTCTTAGAAAAGAAAGAGGGTTTGTTTTAAAGAAAGCAGAACATGTGTACATATGGGTTTCTTAGAAAAGTACTGCCCTCTGCTCACAGCAGGCAACCCGAGAATTTCCCAGCTGGGTGGAAGGAGGGAATCTGTGAAACTAAATCAGGGCTCCACTGCTTGACAGCCACTGAGAGCAACTCTCTCTTCTGCATCTGCACTCAAGATGCAGGAGAGGACCTCTCTCTGACAGCAGCAGCAGTTCAGAGGCCAGGCAGTGAAGGCTTTCGTCCTCTGTCTGTGGAACAGCCCACTATGACATGAAATAGGCTGCCAAATGTCCAAGGTCTGCCAAGCACAGCACGAGCTGCAGCTGAGCTAGGTGTTGAGGGAACAAGCTGCTTCTTCCTGAGCTGTGGTGTCACTGAGGGGCACTATGAATTCACCATTTTAGAAACTTCCAGACTTTCTAGGGAACCAGTGAAATGGGAATGGGATTAAATGTGTTTTTAACTGTAATTCGTGGGTTCAGATTAGAGTAGGCTACAACAGAGATCTGTGATGACCAACTGTGACCTGCCTATTGGCTCTTGAATTGCACACCGAGAAGTACTGTGCTTCTGAGGGCAGATCCCATGCTCAGAAGCAAGGAGATCTCTCCAAATCCCAGAAATGGGCACCACAGGGAAGACTAAATGAACATAAGTCCTGCAGTCAGGAGCAAGGTGATTCAAGGAAGAAAAATGAGCAACTTGTCTCACTGATGATTATACCATAGCATTTCTAGAAGCGTATAGAACCTGAGATGGCCAATACAGATTGGCTAAGGGATTCTAGAAAGTAGCCACTTGATTGTTCTAGTCAATTCTATAAAGTAGCCACTTGATTGTTCTAGTCAATTCATCATACTTCTGCTTACTTCTACTCCTTGGTCTAATTTTATCCTAGTGCTGCTCTTCAACAGTATTTTGTTCAGCCATGTGTAAGCAAGATCAGTTCTAAAGCTACTTTCCTTTCTTTCAAGGACTAAGCTCAGGTCCATCTTTGTTTGCATTACTTAGCTCAGTGCCCAAAATCAAGACCTCTGTTGCCTTACTTATAAATACCTTTCAGTGTCTGCAGATAACTAGATTTACCATTAATCATTAATTACAACTACAGTCAAAAGCCCAAGCAAGTTCACCTTACTTCACTGCACTTTGAACCTTGCAGCTCTGTTTTTAAGGTAATATTCATGCCAACAGACTTTAACATCTGAGTTACACCCTAGGCAACTTAGCTCAGCCAGACTGGGAGATGGTTATATAAGAATTTTGGTAATCTGATCTGATGAACCCACAACTGGACTTCTTGAAAGGCAGCCACCTTCCTAAGTCAACATTCAAAATGTTCATGCCATAGGAGATTTATGCTAGCTGCAGAGGGAAGCAGAAGAAAAGGCAAACTGAACTTCTAGGTCTTCATACCCCTCTCTCAATACAACTGTCCCCTTTAGTGGGAACAAAACTCCTCTTGATACTTTCTCTTCCCATTCTCTCGCGGTGAGGTGAGCTCTGCAAGTAGTAGTGGCTCATAGCCTACTTGTCTGAGGCTGAACCCAGCACATCACCTCCGCCTTTCAAACAAGCCCATAGGTCTGCTTCCAAATGACCTTCCCCTGCTTTTAGAAACTCTATCTAATGCCAGAAAGCTTGTCTCTGTAATCCTACTACCTTCCCCTGCCTCTGTAAACAACCTCTTCCTCAGCACCCACTGCTATGCAAAGCAGCTTCCCTGGTGGCTTTGCATGTCTCAAACCAACCTCCTATGTGCTTCTGCCTTTCATTTATATGTGCTTGAATATGTACTTGTATATGAAATACAAACTCTTGATTACTCTGATTTTTTTATTCTCTCAAGAATTTCCTCATCAATGTGCTTCCATGCACCATATATAAAAGGACCTGTGCAAGATGAAGTTGTACAGTGTATGAGCTGGAGCAAATCTCTGTGATCATTCACATGCTATACATCGCATGAAGTTATTCCGATCTACTGCTTGTGTTCTTCAAAGAAGTTCTGACACTTGGTAACATCCCATATCAATGCTCAGTCTGCTCATCCTACATTTTTACTCAACAAATTTATGCAAACTAATGCCCCTCTCACTGTGATGCTACGCAAATATTTTGCAGCTGAAATCTCAGCCTATAAATAACTCCATGTCTGGCAGTGCCTACCAGCATGTATAAAGCATTCCCACAAATATAACCAAGCAGCAAGACTAGAAATGAGGAAACAATCACATAAAGCTAGCACTTCACCACACAGAATCTCCGTACAAACAGATGTGAAAATACAGATTTCCCCAGTTGCAATGAAAGAACATTTTGTTCTGGGATTACATATGCAAGCTCTAGCAGGAATTATTTAGCTTGAAATGGGTGAAGATAAATTAATACGGTTTCCATTGAATATGCCAGGACAATTATTTTCAGCCCATTTAAAAATATTCACAGAATGTACTTCAACATAGCATCACAAGGACTGATTGAAAAAAACAGTGCAGGCAGGATGGAAGCCTATAGCTAAGGACACGTAAGTACATTCACTCTGGATTTGGCCTTGTAGTAGGGAGTAATAGGATACTGCAGGGAAAGTTGTAGATGGCCCTTACTAATATTTTAATAAAAGGAAAGCCATAAGAGGTTTATGACCATTTCTATCCTATTTTATCTTCTTCTCAAACCAACATTTTCTGAGCTGTAGGAGGGGAACTAGACTCGCTACTGCTGAGACAGATTTCTGCGCTCAGGATGCTGAGTCATGGTGCAGGGGAAGCTGCTCCCACAGGCCACCAGCATTTCTGATGCATCAAGAGAAAGTTCCTTACCTCAAGTTACAGGAACAACTACAAAGCACTTGAGTTCTGATTAAGAAAAAAAATCAGGTTGAACAATGCATTTGGTGTGAGGCTGGAGTAAGTGCATACTTTTGATCAAGTGAAAAATCAAAGACTAAACACCACCGATGTATTAACAGTTAAGAATGTGATATTTTAAAATCTTCTAATCATGTGCAGCTAAATAACAGAAAATCTTCCTGAAATTAGCCCAGTGCAGTCCTGTTTGAGCAAGTTCAACTCAATGCATTTATTCTCATGTTACTTTCATTCAAGGGGCCCCCTGGTGGTCTAGTGGTTAGGATGCGGTGCTCTCACTGCCGTGGCCAAGGTTCGATTCCCGGTCAGGGAACTCCTCCGGGCAGATGGAGCTTGTCAGCCCTGTAAGGCCATCCATCTAAGAGAAGGTCACTCTAAACAAACCTACGTCCTGAGGATCTCGCTGCCACCGTCCAAGCTCGCTCGGCCCCGGCAGATGAACCTCAGGATTAAAGGGTGGGCTCAGTTCAGCGCACACTGTGTCTCACCTAAAAAATCCACTGCGCAGGCTCGAAGGGTAATGACCTTTCCCAAATCTTCATTCGCGAAGACTGGCCATGATGATGAGATGAGATGACTTTCATTCAAGCGCTGGACATGGCCAGGTTAGATGCACAATGAGAGGTCTCTCCTTTTCTAGCCATACACATTGTGTTGCACTGGGCACAGCAAAATAGCCATCCCAGCATATGTGCAATTTGAAAAATAAACATCATAAAACTCAGAAGAATGCTGTTACTGGCATAGGGATCCTGTTCTGTCTCTTCACTGTTGTGACACGGCATTGCACAGGTCTTTAAAGAAAGCATAAAAACTTAACTGTGTAGATTATAAACAAAACATTTAATATATGTTTTCAAGGGACTTCCATGTTGCAGTTTAGAATTCCATTTGGTAAAAGAAGGAATCCTTCACAAACCTCATCTTCACTAAATAAAACATATAACTTCAAGGTCAAGTGAAACAACCAAAATATTCAAACCAGATCCTGACCGTTAACTACGTCGGTTCCTAGAATCACAAAAGAATCCATAAGCACAAAATGTGGGGGTTTTTTGAGTTTTCTAGATTGATAGTAATTTAGGAAACCCAGTATGTGATTCATCCTAGCTAGATTGTACCATCTCAAAGCTGGACTTCTAGCTAAGCCAGGACTGACTTCTCTCATCTATATAAAACATCTATGTGTGAACAACGTAGACTGTTCTCTGGCAAAGATTACTCTGTACCACCCACAGAGAAAGTTCACATTATTGTAATCAGATTTTTTACTTTTTTTTTTTAAATAGGGATTCAGGGTGGGATATTAAAGAAAAATTCATATGTAGTAATCAGCTACAATATTACCTCTGCATTTTGCATTAAACCAAGTAATCACTGACACAATAAGCTCACATCCATACACAGTTTTCATTAAAACACTGCATAATATGGTAGCCATTTTGGCACAGCTGCCTCACAGTAGCAACAGCTGAGGGAGAAAACTGAATGCTTGCACACTACTCTGATGAATTAGGTGTTTAGGCTGATTTTAATAATTAAAAACAAACAAAAAAACAAAATTGGAAAAAACCCTCAGTGTTTTAAAAATTGAGCCAAATGCTCAAGATTCAATCCCATAATTCCTGATCTACTTGAAATGAACATCTGTTGTCAGCCAAAGCCATTTTGGAAACAGTGAGTAAGACTTCAACCCCTTATGCTAAAGCCAAAAGAGCCGGCACAAATTCTATCACCTTTTCTGAGGTTTTCATATAGGATTCCTTGCTCAGAACATGCAAGTGCTCAAACTCAGGAATGCCCAGTTGTGGAGTTCTAATTGCATTGCAGGTTCTTTGACTTCATCACTATTATGTCATGGTCTCACTTTTACATTGCCAGCAATACGGAAGCCCCATGCTCCATCTCTACTACACATCCCGATTTGGGCACACCTGTCCTTACACCAACATCTTTATTAAAATCTCATGAAGCATGCATTTCACTTTTATATTTTTGTTCAGCCTGTCACAAGTCAGCAGTGTGCATTTTGTCACCAGACTCCAGGAGCTTTCGGCATTGTCCAAACTGTACCAAACTGTAGGCACACCGCTTGATCTCCTGGTCAGAATTGGAGCATGAGACCTCTTGCTGTTAACAGGACAGTCTCAGTGGTAGAGCAACGTGAGGCAGGCTTCATTAGGTATCAGGAAAGCGTCAGGATTACAATTCTTTACTCCTCCTTGGAGTGTGGCCTTGGAGAAGGTGTAAAGGGATCAGGTTGCTGCTACTGTCCAGAAGGCATTGGAGGCAGCCTGCAGCTGACAGCTGGGATCTGGAGGAAGCTGCTGTCTGCTTGGTATTAGTAGAAGAGGTCTCAGGAAATGGCAAAAGACATACAGCTGTACCTCTGCAAAGGATGCTGGGTTGCCTCTGTGATGGCTGACAACACCACCTCAAAACAGTGCCAGAGATTTTCTTGGAAAAGCAGAAAAGTCCACAATGTAGATCTACAGTGGTCCATAAGAGACACATGAACATCCCGAGCCTTTTACACTGATCAGGTACTTGAATTCACATGCTGCCATCAGGGAAAATATGGTAATGACAGACAAAAAACCTTGGTGTTCAAATACATTTTAGTTTGAGTATATAAAGGGTTCATATCTTTAGTCTCTGGTGCCCTAACAACTTGACCAGCTGAAGAGATGGCTTGCATATTTTCTGGTGATGAGCTACTCTTCTTGAAGTGGGCTCTGAAAAATGTATTGCTTAAAAATGCACCGCGATCATGGTTGAACACGGCAGAGGTGGTAAAAATGAGAGGGACTATTCCCAGTGCTCCTGTGTTTAGTTATCAGAACACAGCAGTATGGAGTTTAAGTCTGGCCCTCCTTGTAGGTAAAAATTTCCCATAATTGAAATATATAAATTACAGAAACATACCTAATCATCAACAATAAAAAATCATCCAAAACAAAGCAGCATGAAATGAATAGCACCAAGGCTCTTGAGATCCATAAATCCACTGTATAAAAGTGAAAATGACAGTACATAGGCCTAAATAAAAAAGGTATTCCAGTGTTAACTGAGCGAGTGCAGTCCTGAGAGTGCTGAGAACAGTGTTTTTACAAAGAAGCTATCTGGAAGCTGTAACAATATAGAGGTAGAAAATAGATGAGGATTTGAGTGGTAGTAAGAAACTGGTTATGATCACACCACCATTCCCTTGAGTTTATTCAGTTCATTTTTTGAAGTCAACAGGAATTTTGTCATTTGTCCTCTGTGGAAGAAAAACTGGACCTTAACTGGAGGCTGCATATCACTGTAGAGCTTGGATTTCCAAAAATGCTAGAATATTCCTTTTGAACAGAAACTATTGCACATTTTATTACCAGAGCAAAGTTAGTAAGTACGTAATACTCTGTTCGTAGCGTGTAATGCATATGTGTTCAGTGTTCTGGGAGATGAAGAGTAAATTGTGAAACTTCAAAATAGGATACACGCTACCTCACAGGATTGTTTCTATCAGTAGCTCCATGACACATGACAATATGCAGCATAGGACTTAATTCTACTGTCATCTGCTTGAATACACAAACTCCAGAGAAAGTTATGTTTGCTTCACTGAAAGCAGAATTAACCCCTTTGTCAGGAGTAGGAAATTTTGATATGCACATCCAGACATAACCTAAGCCTGAAGATAATTCAGCAGACAGGCTGGCTGGCAGATACACAGTTTTTGGCATGTGGATTACGGGTCACAGATGTATTTTTCCAGCCTGCAGACACTAAAGGCTAGAGTTCAGTATCAAATAAGGAAAAAGAAATCAAAAGAACAAACAACATCTCACAGCATTTTACCAGAATCCTTATTCAGTACTGTACTATTGTTGCTGAGTTGAATTCCGGATTTCCAGTTCAGTGACCTGGATGAACACCCGTCAAAATAATCACAGCTTTGTTTCTTCTGTACTGGCCTCTGAACAGCCTTCAGGTCAAAATTATATTATTGAGATTAGCACCATGGCAATTACCTATTGGAACAGTTTAAAGTTCTTCGAATACAAGTTATGGTTCAGGAAGGAATACAAGACGTTTATAAAAAATTACTTCTTCGAAGAAAAGAAATTCTATTAAAAATATATAATCCATGATACAACATTCCATTTTACCTGTCATGGAAAATAAAAAATAGTGCATACATAGAATGCACTCAAAATACATGAGGCCAAATTCTGCACTGAATTAAGTGAGAACTTTGCTGATGTACTAGCTGGAAATCTTCTTTTATGGCCACTGTAATCACTAAGATTTTTATTATTATTATTATTTCACAGGTATTTAGATTTCATCTAGTGCATCATTTGACCTATAATAAATGAGTGTATAAAGAACAAATTATATGTCAACAACGTATATTCTCTGTTCCGTACTACATCAATTAGCATGACCAAAACCGGAGTAACTACACCCAGTACTGATTGCGCTTCAAAGTTGGGTTTGTTTTCCGACAATATTGGATGACTTCAGGATCAAGATTTAAAATGCCATTTTGCAGAGGCCTTTCTATAGTTGGAGAAACCACTGCAGGAAGCAGCTGCTCATGTCTTACTGCCATGAATGTTGATGCTGCACTTCTCTCAGCACCCTTCAGAAGAGGAGTCACTGTAACAGTAGGTACAGTCAAGCTCCATTCCAGACACCGACCTGGACTACTGAGGATTGCATCTGCTTGACTTTTGACAAGTGATTTCGTCTTCTCTTTCTTCTGGCACATTAACAAAATGCACACAAAAGTAACAGCAACAATGAGTAGCACAGACACCAGGACCAGAGGGATAATGATGTACCAAGCATTGCTGCTTTCACCCACCTGCTCTCTGGGACTCTTGGCATTAACCTGGCTTGTAGTCTTTATCTCCTCAGATACACTTGTTCTCATTGCCAGATTTAGCAATGGGCCTTTCTCATGTAGATATCCCCAGTGATTCTGCCCAGGCCACTTAGTTGATTCAGGCTTCTGTGGTGCTATTGCAGGCTCTTCCTCCTGTGAGGAAGCTGGTGCCTCATACTTTGAGGTAGTATGAACTTTTAAAGTAGTCATGCTGGTTACAAAAGGCACTTCTGTCGTAAAACCCTGCACAAGTGGAGGACTGTGTGGCACAATGGAATACTGAAAACAGCCAACAGCAGGTTGCACAGCATCTGCCCTGAGTATAAATGTAAATGAGTCATTTAACAGATCAATGCCCGTCATATTTGTATCTATGTCTAGAAGCAAAACACCACCATCAATGTCAGCCTGGGTGAATGTCTGAATGTCTTCAAACACTGCACCGCTCACAAACTTTTTCTTTACAATCTTTCCATGTGAGGGGGGCACTATCACTTCAAATCTAGGATTACTATTTGTTAAATTAGCTAGCTCAGATGCATCCAGGTCACTGCTTCCAAATTTATAAGCCACTCCATTTGAAATCTGCAGATCAGGTACAACTTGTACTAAAGGCTTCACTGTGATGTTCAGCACTTGTCCTGTTAGATTGCCTTCTGCAGTGAAAAGCATGAACTTCAGTACTTCTTCGGATGCAGTGAGATTTGACAGGTGGTAGGAGAGCCTTCCCGAGTACAAATCTGCCTGCTCAAATTTAGTAACCTGCTTATTTCCAATCATCAGGTGCCCGTATTTGAGTGGCTGAGTTACTTCATACATAATGTTAGTGCTTTTTCCATTTGTGACAGCTGAAAGCTGAACATTAGTAATAGTGACAGATGTCTGGCCCTGGGGAAGTACAACATTGGTAAGGTTGACTAGGACAAGAACAATTGGTATGACTTCAAGACTGAACAGTTTGTATAAAGGGCGATGTTTACCGTCAGTCACACTGAAACAAAACACCCCAGAAGATGAACTTCCATCCTGTACATACCAAATGTTACCACTGTCAACATCAGCTTGTGTGAAATCTTTTATAGAGACACTGAGATTGCTTTTTATTGCTAAATAACCATTATTGGGGTTGCTAACAATGGTATATTTGAGCTCAGCTGGGGCATTATCTAAGTCTTCAACTTTCAGGTTCTCTGACCCCAGCACGGACATATCTCCTTGCAGGACTTTCAAGTGCAGCCTTTTAGTCTTGAGTTCTGGAGATCGGTCATTCACTGGAAAAACAGTGATATTAAACATCTCCTCTAAAACTTCACTATGGGGCTTTGTTGCAGACTCGCTCTTTAGGTTTAACCAAACAGCAAAAGCAAAACTGTCATTAAGCGATTCAGAATTATCATGTACATACACAATTCCAAATTTGTTCAGTATGTATTGGGAGAAATTAGGTTTTTCTTTGGTAACGTTTCTTTCTCCAACAACAATCATGCCATGTTGGGGGAAAGAAACAACCTGATACCAGACTTCATACATGGAACGCTGTATGTCAGGTAGTTTAATCAATAGATTTGAAGCATCTAAATTTGTTTTATTGATCAATACTCTGCCTCCTTCCTGGACTGTGGCACCTGGCAGAAAGGAAAAGAGAATCTTAGTAATTGGCAATTTTACAGTTGCAATACTTCAGAAATCAGATATCAAACACTGATGATGCTCAGAAAATTTTCTCCTTCATAGTATCCTTGATTTCTATATGTCATAACTAAAAATGTATTACCACTACTTTTAAAATACAGTCAACACATAAGAGACAAGATTTTCTACTGATGCATATACTAAAATTAAAGAAATATCAGAGTGTCAAAACTTCTGAGTGTTTTCACCTACAATTATAGAAAACAGAGAATATTCTCTACAGCAGTAGGAATCATCAAACATAGGTAGTTAATCTCATTTCTAAAAATGTAGTGATGTGGCTTTCCAAGCTACTATCTACATTACACTGTGTCAGAAGTATTCTGTTTATTGCTTACTGAAGAGAAAGGAGCCTTTGTTTTTCCTCAGTTCTTCAATGGAACCCTGACAGACCCAAACCAATTTGGAGCCCAAACAGTACAGCATTTTTACCTGTATTTGCTAGAAGACGACTATTCCGATCATCTCTGGTAATTTCATATGAAATGACAATATGGAACACCTGGAGGTCCAGAGCTGATGGCGGAGAGGAGACAGTAAATGTAAAGAAATCTTCTGCACTCCAGCCAGCTAACTCAGCATGTAAGTGTTCGTACATGATCACACCTTCATCAACCTATTTTGGGTAAAGGAAAGTCACAGGTGTAAGAAGAAAATGACTTTAACCAGAGGACTGTTAAGGACAGAAAAAAAATATCTTGAGAACATTGTTCAAAGAGGTCTTTGCACCTTAGTCCATGCACAGCATATATGGAACTTACAGAATTGTTTAGGTTGGAAAAGACCTTTAAGATCAAGTCCAACCATTAACCCAGCACTGACAAGTCCACTACTAAACTACAGCCCCAAGTGCCAGATCTACACATCTTTTAAAATCTCCAGGTTGGTGATTTAATCACTTCCCTGGCCTGGTTCAATGTTAGATCACCCTTCACATGAAGAAAGATTTCCTAATATTCCAGCTAAATGTGCCCTGGCACAACCTGAGGGCATTTCCTCTCATCCTATAGCTTGTTACTTAGGCAAAGAAGCCGATCCTCACCTGACTACAACCTCCTTTCAGGTAGTTGTAGAGAGCAATAAGATTCCCTCTGATCCTCCTTTTCAGGTGCCCCCTGAGCCTCCTTTTCTCCAGATAAACACCCTCAGTTCCCTCAGGCACTCCTAGTAGGACTTGTGCTCCAGACTCTTCCCCAGCTCTGTTGCCCTTCTCTGGACACGTTCCAGCACCTCAGTGTCTTTCTTGCAGTGACTGGCTCAGAACTGCACACAGGATTTGAAGTGTGGCCTCACCAGTGCCCAGTACAGGGGGACTGTCACTGCCCTGGTCCTGCTGGCCACACTATTGCTGATCCAGGCCAGGATGCCATTGGCCTTCTTGGCCACCTGGGCACACTGCTGGCTCATGTTCAGCTGCTGTTGACCAGCATCCCCAGGTCCTTTTCCACAGGGCAGCCACTCTGCCCCAACCTGAGGTTGTGCTGCCTGAGGTTGTTGTGACCCAAGGTCTCGACTTGGCACTTGGCCTTGCTGAACCTCATACCTTTGGCCTTGTCCCACTGATCCAGCCTGTACATAACTTACACTGAGATTATCTTGCACTTCTCTTTTTCTTAAAATGGACTCTGTGTTGCCAGATAAGCTTACCTGAAAGTAGGCAAAGTGTTACTGGGCATGAATGCTTAGTAAGAGCCTTATGTGAAGAGCAGAGATATATAACACTGAGAAACCTATTTTAAACTAGCAATGGTAACGGTGATCATAAGCTCAGCTGGACTGTATCTTTAGTGAATCAGAGTATCATATGTCTGAGGTTTTTCTTTACAAGGACACTAGCAGGTCTGGACTCATCGTCCTGAAAAAGCATATGAAAGACTGAAGGACTGAAAAGGACTTTGATGCAGGTATTTCCTGGGAACAGCCAAAGATACTTGGTAAGAGACTAAGAAAACCAGAAGGGAGTGTAATGACAATTGAAATATAATCTCAAGTATAAGCAAAGAGCTGATGAAATTACTTAGTGGGAAATTTATACATCACAGCAAGAAGGGGATTCCTAAGAAACAGGAAGAAACCTGTTTTGTCCTACATGTGCCTGCACTGACCTTGCAGATCATCATACTCAAGAGAATCCTATCAGTCCACTGTGAGTAATCAAGACACAGAAGTAAATCTTCAGAAAAACAAATGCACACACAACATAAAAACATTTATCTCTCTAAAACCCAAAGCGAAAGGCAGTATTTTCAGACTATTTCTCATCAACAGGAACTATACATGAATTTTAAGATCAATACCATAATACACTGGAACTGCAACAGAATTCCTAATAACAGCAAGATTAGAACACTCTAGTAGATTCAGCATCTGGTCTGCTTGCTAATTTATTCACTAGCCTGGAGAGAAGACAGTCATACCTATTAAATCCTTGGCAAATTCCGGGCAACTGCTAACCTGGCCTGCATGTGTTGGTTTGTAATTGCCACAGAGATCCCTGTCTGAGATGGCGCCGGTTCTGAGTTTACTATTGTAACACACTCCTCACAGCCTGCAAACAGTCTGGTGGGACTCATTAGCACACGTTTCTATCACATAGGCTTGAAAGGTGTGAAAAAAGAAAACAAAAAGCTCCCTGCTGCTATCACAGATGAAGCATTTTAGCAGTTTAGAGTCTGAGGTGTGAATACAGAGTTCTAATACTGAAATTATTGCAACAGCCCCCTTTGAGATCACTAGGGAAACTGAGCTTTCAAGGTCGGGTTTCTCAGCAGCCTCAAAACCATCCTGCTTTTTCTCTAAAAAAGTCAGACTGATGTGATAAAATCACATCTTCAGGTTTGTGCCTTCCCTATACTAATTTTATTTTTAATGGCTATTATAGGAAAAAAAATTATATCAAAAGGATACATTAATTCAGGGTAACTTTCCAAAACCTCTAGGACTTCAAGTTGGGAGAGAAAAAAAAAAGCAAATATCATGTTGAAAAACTATTGTGTTATTCAAGAGTGTTTAATGCGCAAATAATTTTCTTATATTCCCAAACAACAACTGTTCAAGAAAAAATGCCTTGAAATGCAATAGTGATTTCAGTCCTTTTTTTTTCCCCCCTCTGGCAACAAAGCAATAAACCACAGGGCACAGGAAGAGTTCAGCACCACAGCAAAACATAGTACTTTTATGAAATGAAATCTGAAGTTCCTCAACACAGAATGAAGAGTATGAAAACCCAAAGTACTAATCTAATGCAAAATATTTTCAGTTCCAATCAGATTTACAAGCTTCTTATTACTAAACAGAAACTGAATGTCTTAGTCTCCATTACATGGAGAATGTACAATGTTTGTAACACCCATGTAATTTTTTAACTGATATTTTAACTCCATGTGCTACAACACACTAGACTGAAAATTTATTTAGATACCTTTTCTCTCCCTCATACCTCATTCTCTACCAGCATCAATAGCAAGCAATAGGTTTGGATACCTTAATTCTACCTGTAAGCAGTCACTTAGCTCTACTTGTTTGAAATTAAAATGGCCAATAGAAATATCTCCAAGAGACAAGAAAAGCATACATATTATTATAGCTCAAATCCTTACACAATTTACAGAGTTCAAAGGAAATTTAGCTATACATTAGTAAAAACTAAAGCTACAGAGAAATAACTGGCATGTTCTGACATGGCACTGTCTAATAAACATACATAAAGATCATATCCATAGGCAAAAAGAGTGAAACTCCAAAACCTTAACTGAAAGATTTTCTGTCTAATATGCTTAACTTTTTCATTTAATGCTCATAAAAATCATACATTTTGGGATCAGAAGGGAGCAGCGTCATCATATAGTTCATCTCTTTAATAATTTAAGACAAAACTCAGCATCTATTGTAACAAGACCAATAATATCATGGGATTAGTACGTGGTTTTATGAGAACCATTCTGTGTTCATTTTGCTTTATAAAGTCCAAGTAGAGATTCATTCCATCACAGTCCTCGGTCAGGTTGTTTGAAAGTTTGATGATAACTAACAGAAATGTCAACCTTTTTTCCAGGTTTTACCTATCAAGTTTCAATTTCTGGCCAACAGATTTTCTCATTTCTTCATACATTGAATCAAACCAGATTTAAAATCTGTAAACATAGGTTTTTCCATGAGCAAAGTCAGAAGATTGACCCCCTTTTGTCTCCCTCACTTTGATTTTCTGAGAATAACTTAATGCAGAGGACATGGTCATATTCAGATTCTGCACACAGACATAAGTAATTTCTGTTGCAGAAGAACGTTTCTATCAAGTTACATAAGCTGCCATGTTTTAGTCATTCAGTATGAGAATCTATATTACAGGTAAGATACTTTAAACACTTAGTATCACAGCCAATCAAGTCAATAAAAGTCCTCTTGGGGACACCCATGACTGTGTACAGATAAAATGAATATGATACTTTCAGAGTACAGACTTTTCATAGAGCAAAAGGTTGCCTCTTCTGCCAGAAACTAAAGGCTTCCAACCTCTGCCTGCTGGTTAATGGCACCAGAACAGTTTTTCTTGACAAATACTATTACAAGCAAAACAGTGGGAATTGCCAAGACCCTGCTAGTATCCAAGCAGAGAGGAACAAAGGCTGCCCTTGCATTCATTACTAGATGCCAGATATTTAGTGACACAGCAAATCTGGATGGTTGCACTGATGGATCACATATGCCTGATTACTTAACATATATAAATGGAATCAGACAAAGAATAAGCAACTGAGATGCCCTTTGAAGTAACAATATACCCCTTAATTAGTTATTACAGAGTAAATGCTTACCATAGACTGTGTAAAACTGAGAATTTCCTGAGTGGTATCATCGGAATTTACTCTGATCAGCCCTCCAAGTTTTGGGAAAGTTACAATCATAAAAGTTATACTTCTGTTTCCTGCACTGATCACATCATTGGTTACAGCTTTAAGATCAAGTTGTGAAACAGGTTTCCTGGAACCTAAAAAAGTGTCAATTATAGGAAACACATATTTACAAGAGCAATTTTACAAAAGGTTAAGTTTTGTATGCACAACTCACACTCTCACCCAGGTATTCTACTTAGCCTTTTAATAATGTTTTATAAGATCAGCAGGCTTACTCTTTTTCTAGTTACCTTCTAGTTGCAACTCTTTTTTCAATCAAAAAGGCCATTAGTAGGATGTATCTTTGTCTTACAAATGTAAAAAATGCAGTACTCTTCAGCACATGTAATCGCTAAACATTAGCTTCTGCAAAAACAACCCAAAGTAAGGAATAGAGCATGTATAAGAAGCTCTGTTCCTACATGACATGTCTAGAACTGAATTCATACTCCAGTGTTTTGGGTATTCCCAGTTGCTACAGAAGACAGGATGACTTGGCAGGGAGAAGCCTCAACACAGTAAAGTTTTCAGTGAACACATAAACCAAAGCCAATTATTAACAGAAACATGAAGCACGCTTTATCAATATGAAATATTATTTTCATTAAATGAAATTAAAACATCAATACTGAATTAAACGAATTAGGAAGAACATCATGTAACAGAAATGACAGCCTGAACTGAAATAATGTATTATTTATTAAGAGGTAAAAAAATCCTTTCGATACATAGCACCGCACTAACCTAACTAAAGTTACTAAATTCTGGTTTAAAAATGAAAAAGATTATTACGAGCTTTCTGGTATTTAGTCAAACAAGACAATTTTTGAGATAGGTGTGATGAAACCACACTTAGTAATTTCCTGAAAGAAAAAAATAAGTTTTATTTGGCTTTTTTTGAAGCACTTTCAAGGTATACAGTCAGCGCACTAAAAGTCACATTCAGTGATAATTTTGGAGAAGCAATAGATTCCGATAACCCTATTCTCTCTATATCCCCACTTCTGCCTCAGTTTTCACATTTTCTTTTTTCTTAAGCAACAAGCTTTTGTAGATTTCAATACATAATTTCAGATACTAGCAGTATATATCCTTGAAGTCTGAATTATCAATCCACCTTCAATAAACCATAATGTTTATACAGGAATAACACAAAATAACATATATATGCTACAATATTCAGAGGAAAGGGGATGCTTTGCAAGCCATTAGTAACATCAGGTTTACCTGCAGCTGTGCCATGGTTCAAATCACAACTACTTTGAAGGAGGGTTGTTATAACAAAATAAGATCTTCTGGCTCTGTCTGTTTTCCCATTTTTACCTTCCCATATCTCTCTGTGTCCATACTGTTTTGAAAAGTGAAACTGTCCCTCAGGTCTAGAAAAATTCTCCCACACTGTATCTAATTCAAGAAAGCTTCCTTCTCTTTCTCTCTCCTCCCTTTTTTGTATGATAGTCAGGGAGGGAAGCATGACCTTGTGAATACAGCAGATATGGTCAGAAATTTACAACTTAGAGCAGCAGTTAATCAGACCACATAAATCTGAAAATGCAGTTGTTTATCAGTAACCTGCTACTTATGTAAATCAGGCCTCATTGCCTTAACAGAGTAGGACAGAGTAACTCTAAAACATGGTCACTCTGTAGTGATGAAAGTTACTGCTTCAATTTTTCATAATCATACCAGGTTATCACACCACCACCACCACAGTGCAGGGCCAAGCATGTCTGTCACAAAACCCTGTTCCTTCCTCATAGACCTGACCTCACTTCACTGCTCAGCACAGGCTGAAATATAGCCTAGGGCCACAGACAACAAAGTCTATCATGCTCTCCTGTAAAATAGGATCCTCCCCCAAACATAACCTTCTCCTTTACCCACTCCTGTCCTGAGAGTTGAGAACCTTCTCCAGCACCCACAGTAGTTCTCCTCTAGTCTTCACCCACCCAACAAACTGGGTGAAGGAAAGTGAAGTGAGAACACTGCCTGTGTGTTCCCAAATACAGAAGCAGAGAGGTCACAAAGACAACCCAACCCAAAGGAACAGAGAGGAGGAAGACACACAATAAGGACAGGTGATGCCAAGTAGAGCCAAACTTATCCATACAACTAGAGTGTAACAGCATAAGGTTGGTACATAATAATTTTGTTACACATTTTTACATTTAAGATTTGGAAAATGCTTTGGCATGACCCACTGGTAGAGAGTTATGAATCATCTCATCTATGGACTGATTAGACAGCTCTGCTTCCAAATAACTAAAAGTCAGGCTGCCCCTCCTTTTCAGAGAGAAACTCAGCTCATTCCTTCTTTGAGTAATTGCTTCCCTGAAGAGAGCAAATCCCCACATTGCAGATATCCAGGATACACATGAAAAAAGTCATGTATCTCACAGACAATTTGCTGGCACACTGATAAAACAAGCTCCTGTTAAACAGAAAAAAATCAATAAATTATGTAAACAAATCTGGTATACCCAACACAACAAAAGACAGCAGTACATGCTCTTATAAAATTGCAGAACAATACACTTGAGAGAATAGTTTACACCCAGTCAAGAAGACATGGTAAATTCCTCACAATTAATTCAATTTTTACCACCCCAGAGAGAAGGATTCTCAAGTTGCCTCGGAATTAACTTTCATTCTGTAGTGCTATAAAATATAACAGGACACTGGCTGTTGTTTTAATTTATATTAACCATTTGGCACCAGCACTGTTTTATTAGTCATTTCATGACAGCCAAGTACAGCTGAAACCCACACAGCTCCAGAATGTCCTTTAAAAATATCATAAAGAGAACAGGTGAAAAAGCTAGTAAAACTTTTTAACACCTAAAAGGAATTTTGCTCACCCAAAGTAAGTGAAAATTCAGGAAAAACTGTAATCTTAGATTAATACAATGTGCAGTGCTGAAATAAATACTGTATTTTGCAAAGTGAAGAACTGATCGACAGTCTAGAGACTTTGCATTCTATGGAAGTATCTGGCATGCTTCTCTTACAATTATCATTGTCTTAAGATAGAACTTCTGTAAATCCTTGTGCCCAAGGCAACCTTACATACCAATATTGCATGGTAATAAGCTTTGTAAGTGGATTTATGTGAATCCCATTTATATTGACTGAATTAGAAGATCACGCTGCTACAATCTCATTTTTTGTTGCCTGTGTTTAAGTGGCTTTCATGGCAAACCTTTGTTTATGCAAGCTTATGACTGGGAAGTTTAAGAAGATAAAGTGCTCCTCTTCTGTATCCAATTAATAAATCAAGGTACAGATTAATACCTCTAGAACATTGCCAATTCTACATCTCTCTCTGACTCTACAGACTGTATTCAGAGAAAAGAAAAAGGTAGCACAGACAAAAGTGTGATGCAAGACATTGCTCAGAGAAAACTAACCTATTACTCCTTTAATCCTGCAATTAATGTTAGATTACTACCTCAGTCAGAGACTACTCTTGCCAATGTCAAGGAGCAAATGGCTCTGGTGAGACCCTCTTACATCAATTCCTGCAGTAGTACAACTTCATTTAAAAAATACTTAGCTGCTGATACAACTAGTTACAAATGCACCAATATGAACCAAAGTTTTCAGTCCTTCTGATTCATCAGTGAGTCTCTCCATAACTCATCTTAAACAATAAAAAAGTGAATTAGCAATCTGCAGAGTTTACATGTGCTATTCAGAATCTGACAGACACAAGCTCCATTCTGCTTTTACCAATCAATATCACAACCATCTAGGACACTTCTAAATATCTGAATATAATAGAGAGCCTTTTAACAAATCTGAATGGGGAATATTCAGAGCTTAGGAAGACAGTACTATTGTCACACTGTGCTTGTATATTTCACTGTCAGTTTCTATTGACTCCAAGCATATCAAAAAGTTAGACTACAAAGCAAAAAAGCAATATGTTGTTTGAGAAAACATAACCCTTCTTTTCAAAATCATACAGATAGATGTTCTCAGGTACAGTTTTCCATAGTTTAGTCAGTTAGGTATCTGACAAATAACTCTATATTATGCAATATTTTCAACTGGATAAAATCATCATAATCCTAAAAAACAGACCTGGAAAGACTCCAAGTCCTTTGTTCTCTTCAAGGCTAATGACCAGTGTATGTGCTATGATGCTAAAAATCTGTTGAGGTGCAAAGTTCAAACCATCTGTCACCTGAAAGCTGAAGCCTCCAGACATTGCTCCTGTAGAAAAGAAAATTATAAATTTATTCTTGTATTACTCTGTCACACAAAACACAAGCATACTTTTGGACACCTTTTGCTCTTGGCTACAGTGAAATATTATTCAGGAATATATTTGGTGCAGGTAGCTCAGTGTGCAGCTGCAGTGCCAGCTACAGATTGAGCTCTGGATGGCAGGATCCCCAGGCAAGAGGGCCCCAGGCAAGAGGCCACGAACTGCCCACCCTTTGCACAACAAAGGGCACATGGACCTGTGGCCCAGCTGGACACAGAGAAACAAGAGGAGCCAAGAACCCCAGACTTCCTTTGTGCTTAGACTGTGAGGGTATAAAAGCCCAGGGGTCCTTGTTCAGGGTCCCACCTCAGAGGCTCCCAGCTTGAGCTGTTATTCTGTTATTGCACCATGATTAAATTATATTAAGGAACGGGTGCCTGAGACTCTGCTATGGGAAACCTGGGATTGAACTGGTAAGGAAACCTAATCTGACTGTGTGAGTGGTGTGTGTAGGGTGAGCGGTGTGTGTAGGGAGTCAAGCAGGGTACCTGTTGGGTCATTGCAACCACCCACTGTGAAAGGGCCTTGGTCTCCTGTGGTATAACTGTGACTGCCTGAGTGACTCCTGAATGGAGTAGACTGGAAAGTTTCCTTAACAATATATATCCAAAGTCATCCTGACAGCAACTTTTGATCAGAACCTTTGTATCTTAATTAGAATTAAATAAATTGATTACGCAGTTAACACCCAAGGAAGAACTACCAGCTGCTGTTTACAGTGAAGGCCAACATCCCTTAGATGTAAATCACGAAGAGCGGGCCCTTCGTCTCTTTCTTTACTGACCCAGTGGAGCTGAAACCAAGTTAAATTTGGGGAAACAATGACTTCTAGATTTCCAACTTCTTTTATAGCTTAGGACAGTCCAAAGCACTTAAACAGTCACATTTTGCCAAAGAAGGAACTGGAGGGGAAAGTAACTAGAATGTTCTTTCCTTTTGTTTTACGTTTAAAGGTCTGTATCAACCCTCGGGTTGTTTCCTTTGCCTCTTTGCTGCGCTTCAGCTTTGCTGAAGTATGTATGTTGTCACAGCTTAAAATATTTCAGAGGTTATGTGTACTCGTAATAAATGCACATTTTTGCCTTTAATCTTAGGATCTTTACATACTTTGGCACAAGCAATAGCAAAATACCTCCAGGAGTCTGAGTGGATTCCTGTAAAAATACATCTCTCAGTACTGACTGACTGCTTCAAGCAGAGGCTTCCCAGACTGTTCAGTTAGGTAGAGAGATTGAAACATTAGCTGTTGCAAAGAGTTACCATGCTCTTCTATTTGCTTTGCCCAATTTAGCCACAAGATACTGCTAAAAGAATATAGATCCTGAAAGCCAGAGGGTGCTTGCATGTGAAGATCAGAACACCTTGCCTAACTACAAATTAACATATCAGAAGAATCAAATGTGGGTTCTGAGATTATAGTTAACAACATCCCTAAGCTAACAACACCCCTGCCTCTTATATCCAGCCAGACAATGAAGTAGCTCTGGAAGATCATGTCATATAGTTCTTATTTTAACAGGTTTTATTCTCTGATGTTTTCTCCTGATATAAATGAAGAAGCTGCTTATTTAAAAAGGCATCAAGGAGTCTAGTATTTGCACTAGGTTGGAAAAAAAAAACACCAGGCTTACATAGCCTCATTTGCTTTTTTGGCTAATGCAGTCAACTGCTTGATTGACCCAGATGTTTTATCATCGGCAGTCGGAACATAACTACATCTCGAACTTCTGCCTGGGTGGAGCATTTATTACTTTATCAATTACTTTATCAATTAAATTTCAAAGACATACCTGATCAGAAGCAATAAAAAGGACACCAAAAAGAGCGTTGTAAAAGTTGCACTGAAAAGACATTACAACTTCAGAACCAACAAGAGTTAATTCAGTACTGCCCTTAGAAAAATACTGGCAGGATTTGTGGGCAGACTCCATTCTGAAAAAGTGGGAGGGAAGTACTCTAGAGTGAAGGAAGGGTGGAAAAGACAAGGAATTCTCATGCTGAAAGAGGAGTACAGAAAAGGTACATTCTGGTTCTGCTTTTATGCTGGTGACAAAACAATCAGGGATTACAGAAGAAACAAATAAAACATTCAAGGTGACAATATGAGAAAGACAGGAGAGATTTGCAACTCACTGCAGAGAATTGGCAGCATAATGTAATGCATGAGGCTGAGTAAAGATGAAGGGAAAGTTTTGAGGTCTAACTTAGAAGCATAAAAGCAAAGTACGGTAGTACCTTCTTTAGTACTCCAGTACAAAAGACACTAAGAATGGAGAGTCACTGCCAGGTACAGACGTAAAAGATGTGTGGTGCCATGAGGAGTAGCCAGGGAATGGAAGAGCTGTCTCAGCCAAGCGGATGCTGCTCTTCCCCTTGGAAGGGCTACAGTGGGTAGAAGAGTAGATAGGGGTACTTCCCAAGAGGACCCAAAGAAGCTAGTGCACACTGTAAGACTGACAACAAGGGACAGAGAAAAGGGATAAAAATCTGAATGACAGTAGAACACAAGGAAAGGCCACAGGACAATGCTGGGAGCAAGAAAATGAAAGTAACAAGTACATTTCTAGCAACAGTTCAAGATGAGAGAGCAAAGAAAATCACTGACAGAGAAAGGAAAAGAAGTAAAATATTCAGAGTCCTTTCTGAAGCACTGGAGGCCATGAGGCTGAGATGGCAGAGATAGAGCAGCTGTAAGACCTGACATATGACCTGGGCAATTTTATGTTATAAAATTACTATACAAGCCACACTCCCACTCACTTGAAAATTAAATTTTCTGTTCTTTTCACTTTTATTAATCAAGATTCACTCCCTAAGACTACAGATATGCATGTGCCCTTTCAGGAACACAGAAGGGGACTGATTTCCTCACACTGAGACTTCCACTGTCCTACCACCATAAGGGTTTTTATATCTCAAAGTCTCCCTCGGAACAATTTAAATAGCTTGGCTCACTTTTGTCATGCCCTTGACCTTTAATTTCCTGGGCAAATTATTTGAGCAGGATTCTTATAGCTCACCAGCAACTGCTTGTAAAGCAACTTCAGTAACATACACACACTCTGCCAGACAGTGCATCATAAGTCAGAGCACATCAACCTCATGAAGACACAACATAGATCTGGAGTAACTGCTGCAGCCAAGGGAGTATTGGAACTCCAGCCTGCCTTGGGGCTGGCAAGATAGCGCTGTACCTCTTCTATCTCCATCCTAAAAAAGATGGTTTATTCCTTCTGTAGAACAAGTTTCTTCTTTCAGCTGAGGTAACACGGTAATAGAGTTGGAGCAGGAAATAAGCACCATATAAAATCCCCACCTCTTCCTCTGCATGGAACCCTGTTGGGATGTGGCTTCCCAGCACTACCACTCAAGGATGCATGAAGCTGCCCTGACTTCTTTTATTCCCCACACATTCTCTCAAATGCACAATAAACCCAATCTCTAGCTCTAGCCACTGGCACAAAGAGTCAATGTTTAAAGCTGAATTCCTTCACAGCCTGAAAGGGATGTTGACATCACATCACAGCTTGATCATCCATCACCACCACATCATGGCAGGTGTCTGTGAGACTGCTGGTCCATGAATAGCTCTGCACTGTAGCAAGACAGAAAGGTTTCAGGAGATTTTCAATCACAATAGTCAAAACCCTGGATTTCATATCTCTGTAAAGCTGCATGGCAACATTTCCTTACTACAAAACTGCTTTCAGAAAGAAGGCTGCTATTAAATAAAGCACCAGTACACAAAGGTTTCCCAGTAGGCACACATTTAAGTAGGCATCAGACCCTTCTCTGTTTAGTTTGTGAGATCATGTAAATAGTCTCTGAAATCTTTGTGACATTACAATGGCATCTGTAACGGATTAAAAACACAAGTATAGTGAATAGGAACAGTATTTTGGTAGCAGGCATGGTATTTGTGAAATCACATACCATTGTGTACAAATACCAGATGCCCTTCAGTTATATGAGCCTGGGTAAAACTAAGGATGCTCTTGTTTGGAGAAGACTTCAGAGCCAAGTGCCCATTGCTAGGTGGAGTAACGGAATACACCAATTCTGATGGTGAGGAATCCTTGTCTTCTGCACAGAGGTCATCAATAGTTATTTCTATGATGGAACCCACCCAGACCTAGGAAAACAAAATAATAAAAATAAAGAAAATGCATACAAAGGAAAATAGGGGGGATGGGAAGGGGACAAGGATGGATGATACATAACTCAAAGAAAAAGAATGACTAGAATAAAGATTTGCTACACTAGTAGCTATGGCAAGTTTCCTTACTGTCCATCCAAATCTCTGATCACAGATCGGAACACTTAATGTTGGCAAATGGTTTTCAAAATACGAGACCTTGGAACAGTACAAGCACATACATCCTGCACCAGTTAGAGTTTCAGTGAGCTGCAGTAGAAGTGCTCTATTTGTCAGGCACCATGCAAACCCTAACAAACATAACAAAAATTGTATTATGATAGCTGAGTCAAGGAGTTACTTTCCAACACACACACATGAATATTAGTGTCATGTACTTCACAGCAGGCAAGGCATTCAATATGCTCTACTTTCACCAGCAGAAAAGATAAAACAGCCTGGGGACAGCAAAACTTTAATACAAATGGAACACTTGTTGTAGCTGCATTACTTCCTCCTAACAACACGCACTAAAGACCCTTTTATAGTGCACCAAACAACCCACAGAGGTGCTCAGTTCAGTGGGAGATGAAAGAACCAACACCTCCAATAGCTGCTTAGCACCTAGTAAGGTCATGATTCCAGACAAAATAGCTAAATAGTTTTTAGAAATATGGTATAAATACCATTACTTAATTCTAATAAATAATCTGTTGGTGCAAGTCCAGAGGAGGGCCACAAAGTTGATAAGGGGACTGGGGCACCTCCCCTGCAAAGACAGGCTGAGGAAGTTGGGGCTGTTCAGCCTGGAGAAGAGAAGGTTGTGTGGATACCTCATTGCACCTTCCAGTATCTGAAGAGGGCCTAAAAGGAAGCCGGAGAGGGACTCTTCGACAGGAACTGTAGTGATAGGACAAGGAGTAATGGATACAAACCGAAAGAGGGGAAATTTAGGTTAAATATTAGGAAGAATTCTTTACTTGTCAGGGTGGGGAGATACTGGAACAGCTTACCTGGGGAAGTTGTGGATGTCCCATCCCTGGAAGTGTTCAAGGCCAGGTTGGATAAAGCCTTGAGCAACCTGGGCTACTGGGGGGTGTCCCTGCCCATGACAGGGGGGGTTGGGACTAGAAGATCTTTAAGGTCCCTTAACATTGTATGATGCAATGATGATTGTATGAATTGCTTCTTCATTTTTTAGCTGAAGATATGGAGAAACTGCAAGATTCTCCTTTCAAGCAGAAAGGACTGCTTTCTGAGTTTCATCTGTACCTTACTGGTTAATTCCTTGTTTGGAAAGAATAAGCAACAGCTCTGCTGTATTTATTTGGCATTACAGACAAAAGTGTTAACGAAGAAAAATACATATTTATCTCAATATGAAATTAAATTCTTAAATATTCAATATGTCAATATCAATTATTTCCATGCAGAATTTATATCAGAGGTACAATCTTAAAAGCCTAAGCCTTTAAATATCTCAGCTTGAGCTTCAAAATACACACTGCATCATCGCTTCCTGTCTTCCTAAGGTCTTAGTACACTTAATAAATATCTGGTAGTAACATCACACCAAATGCCTGAAGAATGACCTTTGACAAAGGTCATTTTACCTCTGCCAAAACCAAAAATCAGCAATCACAGATTTTCCCCTAAGTATTAATTTTACTTTTTAATAAAAACCATGGAAGAAAACCCTTTAAAGCCACTGGGGTTTTTGCCACTATACTTCAATAGAGGAAAGATTTCAGTCTACATTGTGCCACAGAATATGTGCCATGGAAAAAGAGATACTAAAATGAAATTAAATGGTTTTTTTATAAGTAGGAAAAAAATTTTAACAATAAGTTTATAACAGAAAATATCTTGCAACCAGCAAATAGCTATTTTCTCCCTTGAAATATATATTTCTCTGCAATGTAATTACTAATATCAAATTTTGATAAGGAATGACACTTATGAATACACAGGATGATAACTAATCCTAAAGGGTGACTTAGTGAGTGGCATCGAATATGCATATCAGTGTCACAGGTTTTGTATCGAGACCCTCATCTCACTAGCACTCGTGTAGATTCATCATCATGGCTAGGCTTCGCGAACGAAGACTTAGGAAGGCTCTATCCACATTTGTTACAGGCATGCTGGTGGCTTGTGAGGCCAATACGAGATAGACATAGATTATTCTACACAGAAAATAAAAGGTGACATAGAATATGCAAAAATATAAGAAATTACTATGGATGTTACTACAAATTACTTATTAAGTTTCAAATTTTTTCCTTACTAAAGGAAAAAAGAACTATAATTTCTAATTATAGAAAAAAGTGTTTTTTCTATAATGCCAGTATTTAATTCCATTTTTCTAGCACATTAACACACAATGCTTTTTAAGTACTAAACATGACCTGCAACATGATCCTTGAGGAATGAAAGGAGATCTAACAGCTGAAAAGAGCAGCAGGGAAGCAAACATTGACAGTACAGCAAGAAATGTACAAGAATCTTATTTTCCATATCTGGGATCAAGATGTCCTTGAAGAACACCATAAGAACTGTATCTGAACTTCCAGGATGTAGCATTACACTAGTTTTGCATGTGCCTAACACATCCCACAGCCATGGTCCAGAAAAGGTTCATGACCTTGCCAATGGGAAATAATTCATTCTGCTCTACTTACAGCATTTGGCTCATCAGTATCTCCTTGCATGCCACATTCCTTACCAGACACTCAATATTCATAGCCACTTTAACTCTTTAGAGAGTGACTTAGAGAAAACAACAAATTAGGGGTTTTTTAAACCTAATTGTAGGAAAATATAGCCCTCTTGTGGCAAAAGGGAGAGATACGGTTTGAAGCTGGCATCCTGCCAAGTCTCCAAACCCTACCACAAGAAGTCCCCCCCCCCGCCAAACTTCAGGGAGAAGAGGGAGAAAAAACAACCAAGAAAACCAAAACAAGAGAGAGACAGCTAAAGCAATATATATAAAAATATATTTACACTTATGTTACAGTTATATACAATTGAAATATATGTACAATTTCACAAGGGAGAGGGAAGGGGGAAGGGAAAAGGAACAAAACCAAAACAAAATATATATATACATCCCAATCAGTAGCCTGAGATCTAGCAACTAAAAGAATTGGCAAAAAAACTATCTTACTACTCTCCTTGGGACAACCGAGAGTCGCTCTGGAACGATCGCCGGCAACCTCCATCTCCCAAGGTCGGCAAGGCCTCACCAGGCCTCGCTCCCCAACACGGCAGACCCGACAGCAGGGAACCTGCACCTCCAAGCTGCCGGAACGAAAGAGAGCGCAGGCCTTTCCTCCTTTCTTCTTATAGCCCGGTTTATGTAAAAATCATAGGGAATACTGGGTAAATCTGGGCACTTCCTTGGTTACAAACTGGTCACCAAGGAAGGCCTAGACCAAACTACCACAGGAGGATACAGTCATTTCATAGTATTGCTACCTACAAATATCTTTAAACACATACATAAATGCAGCAAGTAATGCCAGGATGGTAATTTTCTTTAAAACATCCTATTTCCCTTACCCATTCCCAACACAGAAAAAAAATGTCCATAGAAAGTGTGGAAACTTTAGGAAATTATACCTAAAATGCTGATAATATAAGTTTCTAAGTAAACATACCCCTCATGAATTTGTTCCAATGGAAAGGCTGTAAAAGAAATGCAAGGATTACCACCATACGTTACAGAAGCTCTCAGGACTATGAAACTTTCTGTATCTCATACGTTGTGTCATAAATTCTTAGTCAAGGAAAAGCAAACAAACAAATCAAAACAAATAAACAAAAGAAAGCCACTAAACCCCACTCAAAAACTTCACTTACTTTCACTTCCTAGAGAAAAAACAGAAACAACTCCCAAAATGTTTGGTTGTCTGTCACACAAACTCCATAGTGTTCATAACCTTCATGGTGTTCACAACCTTGGTAACAACAGACAAGGTTGTTTGAAGAAAGGATGTTATAGATGCCTCTGAAGTGGGGGAGCTAGAGTTGGACTCGTTCAGCATATGTGCACATGACCAACAGTTTCTGGCATTTGGCCAGAAGCCCATGACAAAGGCCAAAATTAACTTCCATATATCCACACCAACATCATAGTTGCTATATAATTGTGCAAGTTTCGAGCTGGCTTCCCGCCAAGTCCCCCGAAACTCGACAACGAGGACCCGCCTCCCAGAGAGGGAAAAGAGAAAACAGAAACAAGCAGCCAAAGCTATAGCAAAAATATGTATATATATATATATATATATGTTTTATATATGAGACAGATACACAAAAGGAGAATACCACACACCGGGGGGGGGAAGGGGGGAAGGGAAGGGAGAAGGACAAAAAGGGGTAAGAACCGCACAAGTCAAACAACCAGCCGAAGGCAAATTAGCAAAAATCTCACCACTTCCCTTCGAACAGGCAGGATGGCTGGACACGGCCCTTGGCTCTCCCCTCACGGGTGGCAGATAACAGCAGTCACTGTAGGCCTCGGCTCCAGATAAGCCCGACCGAAACAGGGACCCACCGTTCTCGAACCTCGCCGGAAAGGAAGAGAGCGAACTATCTTATCCATGCCTTATTTATACCCTAGGTTACGTAAAGGAATAGCATGGAATACTTCCTTGGTCACCTTCCTAGTTCCTTCCTGGTTACAAGCTGGTTTCCAGGAAGGCCTAGACTGAAACCACCACATTCTCCACCCCTTATTCCATACTATTTCTTTACGCAACACCTGTATATTGTGTTCGTCTCTATCCCGCACATATACACATATACATATATAGTCCATGTTTATTTTTTCTCGAAGGCTGTCGTCTGTCATTGAAGATCAGCACCACCAGCAACTCGATTTGTGTTCTTGGTCTTTCGTCATAATCACAGTTCCGGTTTAGGGCTGGCTCATTGGTTTGGGCTGTGTCATCATCGGCCATCCTTGGATTCTCGTATCAGCTTTGTTCGGGTCTTTTTTTTTTTTCGTCTGGTGTCTGGTCTCCTGTAAAATACAACTCAAGGCACAGAATTAGTTTTTCCCCAGGCTTAGGTTTCCTTGAGGCACACATTGGATCTCTCCATCCTTCCTCATGACCCACCAGGTATATCCAGGTCCTTGAGCAAAGACAATCCCACGAATGGGTTTGTCTTGGCCTGAGGGAGGAGTGATCCAAACGGCCTTACCTAACACACCTTTTAGATGGATCGCTGGAACTTTGTCTCCATCTACAGTGTGGAGGGACTCTGCTTGGGCAGGACCAGCTCGGTTGACAGAGCCTCGGGTGTTGACTAGCCAGGTGGCCTTGGCTAAATTCTTGTCCCAATTTTTGTATGTTCCCCCACCCAGTGCCTTTAGAGTCGTCTTCAACAGTCCATTACACCTTTCTACTTTTCCTGCAGCAGGTGCATGATATGGAATGTGATATACCCATTCAATACCATGCTCCTGTGCCCAAGTGGCCACTAGACTGTTTTTGAAATGAGTCCCGTTGTCTGACTCAATTCGCTCTGGAGTGCCATGTCTCCACAGGACCTGCTTCTCAAGGCCTAGGATGGTGTTTCGGGCTGTTGCATGTGGTACCGAATATGTTTCCAACCATCCGGTGGTTGCTTCCACCATGGTAAGCACATAGCGTTTACCTTGGCGGGTCTGTGGCAATGTGATGTAATCAACCTGCCAGGCCTCTCCATACTTATACTTCTCCCAACGTCCACCATACCACAGGGGCTTAAACCTTTTTGCCTGTTTGATAGCAGCACAGGTTTCACAGTCACGGATAACCTGAGAGATAATATCTTTCGCTAAAAATCCACCCCTCGGTCTCGTGCCCATCTATGAGTGCCGTCTCGGCCCTGATGACCTGAAGCATCATGAGCCCATCGAGCTAGGAACAACTCTCCCTTCTGCTGCCAGTCTAGGTCTGCTTGCGAGACCTTGACCTGTGCAGCTCGATCTGCTTGTTCGTTATTAGCATGTTCCTCATTAGCTCGCTTCTTGGACACATGGGCATCCACATGGCGGACTCTTACATTTAGTTTCTTCACTCTGGCAGCGATGTCTTGCCACAGATCAGCAGCCCAGATGGGTTTCCCTCTACGCCTCCAATTCATCTTTTTCCACCGGTCTAGCCATCCCCATAGGGCATTGGCTATCATCCACGAATCGGTGTACAGGTAGAGCCTTGGCCATCCTTCTCTCTCTGCAATATCTAGGGCCAATTGGACTGCTTTGAGTTCCGCAAACTGACTCGATTCGCCTTTACCTTCAGTGGCTTCCGACACTTGTCGGGTGGGACTCCAAACAGCTGCTTTCCACTTCCGGCTCCTCCCTACAATACGGCAGGAACCATCGGTGAAAAGGGCATAGCGTCTTTCTTCATCTGGCAGCTTATCATATGGCAGAGCTTCTTCAGCTCGACTCACTGGCTCTTCTTCTTCTTCTACCAGACTGAAGTTCCCACATTCAGGCCAATTGGTTATGATTTCCAAAATGCCAGGGCGATTTGAGTTCCCGATTCGGACACGTTGTGTAATCAAAGCAATCCACTTGCTCCACGTGGCGTCGGTGGCATGATGCGTAGAGGGCACCTTCCCTTTGAACATCCAGCTCAACACTGGTAATCGGGGTGCCAGGAAGAGCTGTGCTTCGGTACCAATTACCTCTGAAGCTGCTCGTATGCCTTCATAGGCTGCTAAGATTTCCTTCTCCACAGGGGTGTAATTGGCCTCAGAACCTCTGTAGCTCCGGCTCCAGAAACCCAATGGTCGCCCTCTTGTCTCGCCAGGCACCTTTTGCCAGAGGCTCCAGGAGGGACCTTTATCTCCAGCTGTGGTGTAGAGCACATTCTTTACATCTGGTCCCGTTCTGACTGGTCCAAGAGCCACGGCATGTGCAATTTCTTGCTTGATTTGCCTGAAAGCTTGTTGTTGTTCAGGACCCCACTGGAAATTGTTCTTTTTACGGGTCACAAAGTAAAGAGGGCTCACAATCTGACTGTACTCTGGGATGTGCATCCTCCAAAAGCCTATTGCTCCCAGAAAAGCTTGGGTCTCTTTCTTGTTTGTGGGCGGAGCCATTGCTACAATCTTGTTGATTACGTCTGTTGGTATCTGACGTCGTCCATCTTGCCATTTCACCCCTAGGAATTGGATCTCTCGGGCAGGTCCCTTGACCTTGCTCTTCTTGATGGCGAAACCAGCATCGAGGAGAATCTGGATGATCGTCTGTCCTTTTTTGAAAACTTCTTCTGCTGTGTCCCCCCATACAATGATGTCATCGATGTACTGGATGTGTTTGGGAGCCTTACCCTTCTCTAGTGTGACCTGGATCAGTCCATGACAGATGGTTGGACTGTGTTTCCACCCCTGGGGCAGTCGATTCCAGGTGTATTGAACGCCCCTCCAGGTGAAAGCAAACTGTGGCCTGCACTCTACCGCTAAAGGAATGGAGAAAAACGCGTTGGCTATGTCGATGGTGGCGTACCACTTTGCTGTCTTAGACTCCAACTCGTATTGGAGCTCCAGCATATCTGGCACGGCAGCACTCAACGGTGGCGTAACTTCATTTAAGCCACGATAGTCCACAGTCAGTCTCCACTCTCCATCGGATTTACGCACAGGCCAGATGGGGCTGTTGAAGGGTGAATGGGTTCTGCTGACCACCCCTTGGCTCTCCAACTTTCGGATCATTTTATGGATAGGGATCACAGCATCTCGGTTTGTCCGATACTGTCGTCTGTGTACAGTTGTTGTGGCTATTGGCACTTCTTGATCTTCAACTCGCAGTAATCCTACAATGGAAGGGTCTTCTGAGAGGCCAGGAAGGGCAGACAGTTGCTTGGACTCCTCTTCAATCACCGAGGCTATACCAAAAGCCCACCGGTACCCTTTCGGGTCCTTGAAGTATCCTCTTCTTAGGTAGTCCATACCAAGGATGCAAGGGGCTTCTGGCCCCGTCACAATGGGGCGCTTTTCCCATTGATCTCCCGTCAAGCTCATGTCCGCCTCTACTACTGACAATTCTTGAGACCCGCCGGTCACTCCAGAAATAGTAACAGTCTCGGTACTCTTATACTCCGAAGGCATTACAGTACACTGGGCTCCAGTATCTATCAAGGCCTGGTATCTCTGTGGATCCGATGTGCCAGGCCATCGAACCCACACAGCCCAGTAAACTCAATTATCTTCTTGGTCCCTCTCCTTCTCCTGGCAGAAGGCAGGGCCCCTCTACTGGTCTTGATCAGAACATTCGTCGTCAGAGTTTGACTTTGACTTCTTAGACTTTTTGCTGTTGTCGAAGTGGACCTCCATCTTCTCATGTTTTGGCAATCGCAGTTTCTCTTCTAAGAAGTCTCCGTCTACTACATAGACAACTTTCTTGTCAGTCTTCTTTCGCTTCAGCTCCCTCACTCTAGCTTCAAGCTTAGAAGTGGGTTCACCATCCCACTTCTTCATGTTTTCTCCTTTACTACGAAGGTATGCCCATAGTTGGTTACGTGACCAACGCTTAGAGTTCTCTTTCCTTCGACGCGTGAATGACAGGGACCGTGAGCGAGATCGAGACCAGGATCGAGGTCTAGGCCGAGGTCGTCTTTGCCGGTCCCACCGTGATCTTCCCATTGGCCTTTCTTGGTAATCTCTATACCTTCTGTCCTCTCTGTCTCTAAGGTCGTCCTCATATCTGGAATATTCATAATCTCTCTCCATTCTTTCCCTATCGTAGGTGCGTTGGTACAGGGGATTGAAGGAGTCTTCCATATTTTCCTCTATGGTTCTTATCCAAGCACACATAGTGTCCACGCTTGGTTCCTCCATCTTTGGATTATATACGGGTATCAAGCAAGAAATATATGGTTTAGGGGCACCTTGAATTACCTTTTTCCACATTGGTTGCGTGCAGGGAACATTCTCAGGAACTTGGACGTCATAATAATCTGGATCAGAATAGATGATCTCCAGCATGGCCAATTCCCGTAGGTATTGGATGCCTTCTTCTGCGGTCCTCCACCTTCTTGAAGAACTCTTCAGGGACTCCTTAAATGGGTATTTCACTCTCACCGCGTGGAGAATTCGGAGCCAAAGGCTGGATGCCATTTTCTCCCTCCCCATTTCTTGTTCTATCACAGGGTCTCGAGCAATGGATCCCAATTGTCGTGCTTCATCACCTTCAATTACATGACTATCAGCTCCCTTGTCCCAGCATCGCACCAGCCAGGTGAGGACTTCTTCACCAGGCAAACGCATATAATCTCTCCGTAAATCTCGAAGCTCTCTTGTGGTCAGTGATTGTGTAATTTCGCTTTCTCGCATTATTTCTTGTCCATCTCTCCCACGTAGAATCTTTTCCACTTCTCTCTTTACTCTTCCACTCCTACGTGGGACTGCTCCCGCTTCCTCCCTATATCTCTCATGTGGAGGTAGAGACTGGGCATGCCGTGGGGATAAGCTTCTATATTGTTCACGCTGTGGAGATGGATTTCTACGCCGTTCATACCGTGGGGATGGACTCCTACGCCGTTCACGCCGCGGAGATGGACTTCTGCGCCGTTCACGCCGCGGAGATGGACTTCTATGCCATTCATGCCATGGGGATGGACTCCTGCGTCGTTCGCGATACCCCGCGGGTGGAGGTAGTGAGTAATCTTTCGCGTGCTGAGATAAGGGCCTCCTCCTCCAGTCATTCACACCTCCAAGCGAAGGTTGGGTCTGGAGGGGTAGGGATAATTCCTGCTCCAATTGAGGGGGATGCTTTGGCTCCTTCTTTGCGTCTTTTGTAACACTGAATGTGTAGTCAGGATATAAATCATCAAGCGACAATATACCACCGGCCATTTGTACTGTTGCTTTCTTTTCTCTTGATGCTATTCTGTATTCCTTTGGGCGTGCCCCTAGTTCCTTTGGACGTGCTCCTTCCCGTGTAGCCGTTTCTTTCTCTCTGGTA